TACTGTGAATCAAGGTTAGTAGTTTCTCCTGGTTCAGTATAGGCATTACAGAGAAGCACGTATAACTGAATTTAGCTGTGTATTACATACAACGAAAGAGGAGCTTTCTTTCTATTTCTTTTCTTTTTCTCATCGACGTGCTCTTAAAATTCACTTGGATGTGACTGTCATCTTCCATTTCTCATGCTTATGTAAGATATCAAACTTGACAATGCTGAACACCTGAAAGCATCTCACAGGCAAGAGTCATCTGGCAAGGTTCTGTGCTAGTGAGCCAAAGTCTGGACTTGATGGGACCACATGGGTAGTAGTGTGCTTTTAAAATACCTGGCTAAGAAGCAGAGCAGCTTCGTATGCCTTAGTGAAATTCTGAATTCAGCTTTATGTCTCATACCATCAAGATTGGGTACCCCCCACCATCTTCCCCTCCTCCCCCAACATATGTATTTAATGAAGTATTCCCATCAACCTCATTTTAGAAAGAGGAAGACTATCCATGGTCCAACCACACAAAGACAAGTATTAGAATATTTGTATTTCTTCATAGTCTCTGTTACAATCATTCTCCTAGTTTGGACAGTAAGGCTATTTCTGGTCTACTGTCTCAGCATTTTTTTTTTTTAAATAGTGATTCAAAATGGCTGTTCCCGTTTTCCTAATAAAGTGCCACACACTGCACACATACCTTGCATTTTATATTTGAATGAATCGAGGATAAGACGCTGGTTTTACCTTGAAATAAAACAAATTTCCTTTTTTCTTCTCCTTTAGCTGCCAAAATGGTATATTATTTAGATCCTTCTAGTCAGAAGCGAGCTATAGAGTTGGCAACAACGCTTGATGAATCCCTCACTAACAGAAACCTCCAGGTAAAGAGTTTTTCATAATCTCTCTGTTAGAGTACCTGACTACTTTTTGTTTCTCTTTCCACCAAGAGAATAATTTATTTATGTATATTATTCTCCAAACCATTATGAATCCATGTCAGAAACTCACCTTATCTTAAGTTAATTTAGGACTATGTGTGTGCGTGCACATGCGCAGCAAGCTACTTGGCATTCAGTAACTAGTTTCACATCTGTTACTTAGAATAATTTTTTGAGAAATATGTTTTAGAAAAATCATATGTACATTCCATAGTTAAATTTTGGATTTCAGTTCATATCTGCATTTCTGAGCAAGCAGTGGTCTCAGTGAAGATTTTGACATATTTAAGATGTATTTACCAAGGGTTAAATTAAAATGCTCATTTTATAGCTTGTACTATAACATGAGGATTAAGTAGAGAAAAAGATAATATGGGTGTGTTGCAAAATACAGACTGTAGTTTAGACTAAAAATGAAGGACAGCTACTGTGTATGATAATCGGCCAGATAAAAAAGCACCTGCTGAAAGACAGTTAGATAGAGTCCCTTAATAGCAAATGAAGGAAATACCTGTGAAAGAAAAATTTGACTTGTTGGATGCTAATTAATGCATCATTTAGATTAGAACCTTTCCAGACTGGCAAAGTTTGTGGGGTATTATATATCTGGAAACTATGTAGTGTTTTCAAGCAAAAAAATGAAGAAAGAAAACATGAGAAATGCAAGTCAACATGAATCATTTAAGAATAAAAGAAAGCAGAACTATGTAGGGGTTTGGTTGAAAGAGTTATCAATTTTCATGATCACATTTTTCTTGCATACGTGCACTTTGTGTTGGAGACCTTCTTTCCTCCTTTCTTGCACATACCTTAAGGTTCTCTTTCATTTGAATGCAAGGTTGAAAAAAAATGTTTAATTTTGCCAACTGGCTCTAAGCCTCCAAAAAAAACTTAAAGGCTTAAGTGTAGTAATTGACAATAGCGTGTAAATTTCGACATTTATGCACAGGGCTAGGCTAGGCTGAGGCAATGTTGCCGCCTGGAGTTGGACATTTGCTGAGAGTGAGTTGACTCTTTAAATGTAGCACCCTGTACACTTTGCTTGGCCCACCTTAGTCCTAGCCCTGTTTATACATATCCGTCCTTTTGTATAAACACTGCAATTCTGAAGAAACTAATTCTAATGAAATGTATATGTGGGAGTAAATGCTTTTGTTTATCTTAAATATGTACATTTGCCTCTTATTTTGGAAATCTGTTGATAATGGAATGTCTAATGAAGTTCACAGTAAAACCTTTTTTTGGCCAAGTTATAACATGACCTTTTTTCTTTCTTTAGACATGTATGGAGGTGTTAGAAGCCTTGTGTGATGGGAGCCTAGGAGATTGTAAAGAAGCTGCTGAAGTTTATAGAGCAAATTGTCATAAGCTTTTCCCTTACGCTTTGGCTTTCATGCCTCCTGGATATGAAGAGGATATGAAGATCACAGTTAATGGAGATAGTTCTGCAGAAACTGAAGAACTGGCCAATGAAATTTGAACATCATTGAACAAGCAAATGGAATGACTTTGGACCATATCTAGTGTATAATATTTTTGTCACGCACCTGCTGCATTGCTCTAACTTACACAGAATGAGAAGAGTAAATGTTGTTGCCTTCAAATAGTGTTTTACGTTTTTTTATCCTGCTGAAAAAGTATATATAAAATATCTAACATATTACAGGATATAGGTTCAGTTTCTTAAAAAATTAAAAGCTGCTAAAATTGAGGGTTAAAAAAAGATACCTTATCCTATTCCTACCTACCCACCCATGTTTTTAAACTAATTTATATAAAATCTGGAGGCTGTTAACAGCTAACAAAGCAGGTGTGTGGCAGAAATATTACTTTAAATTTGTCTTGTGAGATTTTACTATATCTCAGACAGCATAAATGCTGTTTTAGCACTGGATTCTTTCACTGAGCACAAAGAGTTGTTGGGGCTTTAGCATCTGACTGATTTTGTTACGGGGTTGATTCTGACCATAGGAAGTATGCAATGTGAATCACTATTTACAGAGAAACCTACAACAGATGCTTGATGTTGTAGAAGCTGGGACATATAGATACCAAGCAGAATTATAAGAAACCTAGAGGGTGTTCAATACGCTTGTTGTGTTTCCAAAATTCACTGTACATGATCAGTTTGGTGTTCTTGTACCACAGTTTTTAACTGAAGGAACCAGTTGGAACAATCTCAATTTTAACTAAAACTTGAAGAACTAAAATAACAATGCAAAACGTTCAGCATTGGTTTGGCCAAACTTGTTAAAACTGTAATGCAAGAACCAAATGCACTGTGATGTGGCACCAACTAATTAGCAAGCATGAATTTTTTCACCCAAGAGTGAAAAAAGAAAATCTACCATGGCTTGAAGTTAAAAGAGCAGAACTCCTGACTACCATTCTATGACTGATCAAGAGACTAATAGTTAAAACCTCAGCAGGCCTTGTTCACGATATGCAGAAAAAAAAGTGCTGCAGTTTAGATACCTCTGGAATTTTTCCACAGTGTCACAGGTTTGTAATACTTGAAGCCCTACATTTCTAAGAATATATTTCTTGCTCAGTTGTTTCAGGCAAGCCCAAGACTTTGTAATTTTTAAAGGGCCCAAGATTTTTTTTTCAATAACAGACCAGCTTCTTTTTCCTGCAGTTACAGATGTAATTCCTTTTTGTTGTCAAACATAAGGTACCAAATATGATGCAATAAATTGTTTTGAAAAACAGTTGTGTGAATATTTCAACTAATCTGTGTTGGGCTTCTGTGAAAATACACAGGTGGAAACAGAGGTGCAAGCCAGAGGCAGTGTATTTGCTGTAAGGCTAGTGCAGAGGGGAGCTGTGTAGAATGGGCTGAGTGCTGGCGTCAGGGAAATTCCGGAAAGCAAGTGTGGTGCTGCTCCTGCATTAAGATTTCAGTGAGGGCTAGGATGGTGGCAGGTACTATGAATGTAATTCATGATCCATTATTTGAAAGCAAAACTGAAAATTGCTGTTTTCATTGAGAAAATGAGCCTTAAAATGTTAAACCTGTACATTGAGAACAGTCTCAGGCTCAGTATTCTCATTGCGTTTGTAAGATCTGAGCAAATACGATTAGGTAAAATAAATTGATTGTATATATAATTGACCTTTTTGTGGTACTTTTAGTTCATAGAAAGGGTATTCTAAAGGGAATTTCCAGGAAACCTGATCCTTTTACTGATTGAACACTTGTGCTAAACTCAACCTTTCATAGTACATGACCTGCAGTCCACATCCTAGTCTAACAATTTAGTGATGTAAAGAGAAGTACAAACTGAACTCCAGTGCTTTGTTATGTTTTATTAACTAGCCCTGTCTCAGGAACATCTTAACAGATGGCAAAAAAAAAAAACACAAATAACTTTTTTTTCAACTTCTCCTATGAGTGGCAACTGAAGTTCTTATTGTTGGGAAAGAACACTAGTGCTACCTCTGCCACTAATGAGGTGTTTGGAGGAGGCACCAGCCATATGATAGGGGGTGTACGTGTGAATTATGTTTAAACTCTACTGTATATTAAAATGAAATTCATATATTTGTCTTGACAATGTTCAAATGATGTAGATTGTCTTAGAATGAATATTCATGAGTACTCAGAACTCTTGATGCAGATGCCACCGTGAGGAGCTAAATTCCTAACGTGTATATTGTATTCCAACCCAATTTTACTGGAAATATTGAATAAATATTTTATTTTCTTTCAGGTTTACTTGATAGTGGATACATTGTCTGGTGTCAGAGGACCTTGACAGGGTTCATTTTATGTCCAGACATCACCCCTAAAACATTGTACTGTGCCACTTTGAGTAGTATCAACTGGATCATCTCACGTTTGCCTCATTCACTCTTAATTCCAAATGATACTGTGGGGGGAAAACAGGGTTAGAAAAACAAGTGGAAAAAAAAATGCAGTGATGTTGTAATCTAAACAAGTGCCTTATGTTTATTGCTAAGAATTGGTGTTATCAACCCTTTTGAGAAGAAAGGGTCCATTGACCTGTATTAACATAGGAAAGTAAAGTTCTTTTTGTTTTTCTTTATATTTACTACTCTTGTCATTTCTCATTTAAAAATGAAAATCTGACTAGGTTAGTTTATTCAGCTTTAATTAGATAGTTGAGTCATACATTTTCAGCGTTTTCCTGTGTCTGTTTATTATGCACAAAAATACAGTGTGATCTATAATAGCATGACTAAAAATAGTCCCAATATAAGTGAGTAGTTGTTCTGTGGGTTTTATCAGGCCCTTGTTTTTCACAATAGCAATAATTTTATTGCTATTAGAGCTGTGGAATTAAAGCTGTGATTAAGAAGAGGCCGGAAAATTGTGGTCTAGATTCAGGTAGGCTGTGATAAATTCAGGGCAGTCTCTTCTGCACAATCTCTAGGAATACTTCAGTTGCCGTATGTAGCTTCTGTTTGGAAAAACATAAAATGTGAAGTGTTGGATTTTCTTACAAGATGCGTATGTATTTGTCTTAGTGATTACCAGCCTTAAATTTTGAAATTATTCTTAAGAGAATTCAAAGGAAGACTGACCTTTCGGATGGATGGAAGGTAGTCTTTCTGTTCTAGCTCATGCTCCACTTCAGGTTGCAAAGTTTCTTGATACCATTCTGCTATCATCTAAACTTTGCTGAATCCACTGCTAAACCTAAATTGAAAACAAAACCCCATGGAATGAATGGCTGTGTTGCATTACATAGGGAGCTGAAAGCTTAAGTTTTGTTCCAATTTTAATGGTTGGAAATCTCACAACTTGCAGCAATAAAACATTTTTGGAAAAGGTTATTTATTGAATTGCACTTTTCGCGTTTCAGTATGCAGTCTACAAGATGGATGTTGAAATAAAAGTATTGATAGTGTGCAGGAGGTTTTGGAGAAAAGAATGCACTTACTTCGATAAAGCAGGATTGTTGGTTACATACTGTGAGTTATACAGCCTATTTAACACTGCTACCTCCGTCAGAACATGCCCCCTTCTCATGGTGTCATAAAAATGGGCAGAAGGAAAGGGAGCAGTATGTAATAGGAAAGAGGGTCTAAAAGTTTCCAGCCTTTGTTTATCCAGTTGCCTTTGAAGCAATGCCATCTTGGGACTGTAGCCAGAAGAAAGAAAAAATTGGTAGTATTTAAATGAGAACTTTTACTAAATTGTCAAACATAGACAAGCTTGGAATCTTAATATTCAGTGCTCTTTACAGAGTTATGTGTGCCAAAAACAATATAGACTTTGTTTCAAGGCTGCTTGTAGCAAAAGTAAAGTTGATACTTGGCAATCTAACAAGACTATAATTCTTAGTAGTTCTTACATTTTCTTATCAGGCCTTTCTTTGTGTCTATTTTAAGGGTCTGTATTAATTCATACAAGTGGTACAATTCTTCCTAACTGGAGAAAGATTGGTGGTGATGAATATATGATGGAAATTTTCTTATATGTGATATAAAGATTTCTGCTATTGCTACATCTTCAGCTTGACCTCAATAAGTACAAATTATCTTCTCATTTAGAAACAAGATTGGAATGAAGAGATTTTTGGAATATGTCCTGGATCCCGTGGCTTGCTTTCAGCTAATTACCTTTACCTTCTAGGTTTAGTTACCTGTGCGTTGTCTAACAAACAAGAAGCCTCTCTGTACTGTTCTACGGCTGTCTTTCCAATCTACCGTAGTTGCCCAACAGTGAGCTTCTATAAACTTACCACTTCTTTACTTTGATCTACCAGTTTATTGAGTCCGCTGTCTAATGCTTGATGGCGCATCACAACTGGCATAGGAACTGGCTTTTCTAAAGTGTTCTCCGAAAACTCTGGTGTTTCTTCATTAATAATGAATAACTAAATTAGCTACCACCTCATCTTTCTTTTGAACTAATTTGCCTTCAAGTTGTCCTAATGCTGGTTGATATCTTTAAAATGAAAAGGGGGCCATTTAAAGAAGTAGATAACAAACCTATCTCCCAGATTCTTCCCCTTTAAATTCTGAACTTTGGAATACTAGATACTAATTAGTCCCTTCTGTCTATTAGGACAGTAATAGAAGTATTCAGAAACATTCAGCTGGTGGTGTACTGTTGACATTATTTGCTCAGATCTTCATTGAAAAGGACCTAAGCATAAGCCAACCACTTCACTTGTAATTTTTAAAATAACTTAAAAGTTTTATTCCCAGAGCCCAGTTCTTATTTCAAGCATTCCATTTCACATAACATTTTTCACTCAACTGCTAGGATGCTTTTTGTTTGGAGAAATGTCTAATTATAATATGAAGTTAAATGATTAATGCTTTGGTTCAGACTCATGTAAATCCATTTCTAATGTGATATATGAAATCTTAAGGATTTACACTGGGTACATTTTAGTATAAAGCTATAGTGACTAGGAGAGTACATAGTAGATATTCAAATATTTGTTAAATTTGCTGTGATATTAATATTGCCCTACAGATTGTAGAAAATAGCAATAAAGTACTATTAATTTTCAGGTCACCTGCAAAGGCTCACAAATTTTTTATCCCTTATCTGTTGACTTAGAGTACTCCCTATATTTGCCCCTTGTCCTTCTCTGTTGGTCTTAAGGAATTTCCTCAAAATAGCACAGATCCATTATATTTTAAATATGTTGAATGGATTTCTTTTTTTTCTTTTCCATTTTTTCCTTTTTTTTTAATTAAGGTTATGAAAGTTAACATCCTTGTAAAATTACAGTTGTACATCATTATTAGTCATGTTGTAGGTACACCACTTCACCCCTAGTGCCCTCCCCCCACCCCCCTTTCCCCTGGCAACCACCGATCAGTTCTCTTTGTCCATATGTTAACTATCACCTATGAGTGGAGTCATACAGAGTTCGTCTTTCTCTGTCTGGCTTATTTCACTCAACATAATACCCTCAAGGTCTATCCATGTTGTTGTGAATGGGACGACTTTGTCCTTTTTTATGGCTGAGTAGTATTCCATTGTGTGTGTGTGTGTGTGTGTGTGTGTGTATATATATATATATATATATATATATATATATATATATATATATATATATATATATATATATATACCACATCTTCTTTATCCAATCATCAGTTGCTGGGCACTTAGGTTGGTTCCATGACTTGGCTATCGTGAATAATGCTGCGATGAACATAGGGGTGCATGGAACTTTTGGAATTGCTGATTTCAGGTTCTTAGGATGGATACCCAGTAGTGGGATGGCTGGGTCATAAGGTATGTCTATTCTTAACTTTTTGAGGAATCTCCATACTGTTTTCCATAGTGGCTGCACCAGTTTGCATTCCCACCAAAAGTGTATGAGGGTTCTCCTTTCTCCACAGCCTCTCCAACATTTGTCACTCTTGGTTTTGGATATTTTTGCCATTCTAACAGGTGTAAGGTGATATCTTAGTGTAGTTTTGATTTGCATTTCCCTGATGATTAGTGATGATGAGCATCTTTTCATGTGTCTATTGGCCATCCGTATATCTTCTTTGGAGAAATGTCTGTTCATGCCCCCTGCCCATTTTGTAATTGGGTTGTTTGATTTTTTATTGTTGAGTTGTGTGAGTTCTTTGTATATTATGGAGATTAACCCATTGTCAGATAAATAACTTGTGAATATTTTTTCCCAATTAGTGGGCTGTTTTTTTTTGTTTCAATCCTGTTTTCCCTTGCCTTGAAGAAGCTCTTTAGTCTGATGAAGTCCCATTTGTTTATTCTTTCTATTGTTTCCCTCATGTGAGGGGTTATGGTGTCCGAAAAGATTCTTTTGAAGCTGATGTCAAAAGAGTGTACTGCCGATATTGTCTTCTAGAATTATAGTTTCATGCCTAATCTTTAGGTCTTTGATCCATTTTGAGCTACTTTTAGTAAATGGTGAAAAAGAATGGTTGATGTTCATTCTTTTACATGTGGCTGTCCAGTTTACCCAGCACCATTTGTTGAAGAGACTTTCTTTCCTCCATTGTAGGCCCTCAGCTCCTTTGTCAAAGATTAGCTGTCCATAGATGTGTGGTTTTATTTCTGGGCTTTCAATTCTGTTCCATTGGTCTGTGCACCTGTTTTTGTACCAGTACCATGCTGTTTTGATTACTGTAGCTTTGTAGTATGTTTTGAAGTCAGGGATTGTGATGCCACCAGCTTTGTTCTTCTTTCTCAGGATTGCTTTAGCAATTCGGGGTCTTTTGTTGCCCCATATGAATTTTAGGATTCTTTGTTCAATTTCTGTAAAGAATGACATTGGAATTCTGATTGGGATAACGTTGAATCTGTAGATTGCTTTAGGTAGTATGGACATTTTAACTATGTTTATTCTTCCAATCCATGTGCATGGAATGTCTTTCCATCTCTTTATGTTGTCGTCAATTTCTTTCAAGAAGGTCTTGTAGTTTTCGTTGTATAGATCTTTCACTTCCTTGGTTAAATTTATCCCAAGGTATTTTATTCTTTTTGTTGGGATCGTGAATGGGATTGAGTTCTTAAGATCTTTTTCTGTTAGTTCATTGTTAGCATATAGAAATACTACTGATTTATGTATGTTGATTTAAACCCTGCAACTTTGCTGTAGTTGTTGATTGTTTCTAATAGTTTTTCTATGGATTCTTTGGGGTTTTCTATATATAAGATCATGTCGTCTGCAAACAGCGAGAGTTTTACTTCTTTGTTGCCTATTTGGATTCCTTTTATTTCTTTTTCCTGCCGAATTGCTCTGGCCAAAACCTCCAGTACGATGTTGAATAAGAGTGGTGAAAGTGGGCACCCTTGTCTTGTTCCTGTTCTGAGAGGGAATTTCCTCAAAATAGCACAGATCCATTATATTTTAAATATGTTGAATGGATTTCTTACATCTAGTTTTTGGATTCTTTTCTGTAGTTTGTCAGAGGAATGGTTGTGACGGGCTTTGTAGGAAGCAGATGACTGGAGGACCATCCTCTCACTTTCTCAGTTGCCTCTTCATTGTGGCTTTAGTTGCCAGTGACTCTACTCATCCTTCATGTCTTTAGCAACCAGCCACCCAGGTAACATCATATCCAGTGGAAGTAAGTTACTACAAAGATTGTCACTCAGTAGTAGTTTTTCATCAAACAGTATGAAGGGGCTGGTAACACACACCGCCTACCTGGCAAGCTGTGTTTTCTACAGCCTAGTATCTCCACTTTTAATCAAAGGAGACACTAGATAGGAATCTGTAATGATTATTTCTAGACACTTGACCTACAGTCAGTGTTTATCGCAATGAATAGCTGTGGTCCACAGTTAACCTTCTCTACTTAGGATAGGCAAAATTGACTCCTTTCAAGTCATAAACTCAACCCTGTTTGTATATTAGAAACCCAGGGGAACTATTTAAATAACACGCAAACCTCAATGCCCAGGCCCACCTGCAAAGATTCTACTTTAAATGATCAAGAGTCAGGCCTGGGCATTGGTCCTGTCCTTTCTTTTTTTCAAAGACTACCCTGGTGACTTTAAGGTGCATCCAAAGTTGAGAACCACTGTCCTTGATGAGGAAGAAGTTTTAAATATTTTATAATATTGGGGTTTTTTCCCTCAAAGAGAGGGGCAAGCAACTACATAAGTAAAAAAAGTTTACCCCATCTTACATTGAGGGGAAGAACTTGTATCTGAAGTTTCTGTCAAGAGCTTTCTGGTTATTTTTAAGTCCATGCTTTTCTCTACTTTAATCATGCTGCTAAACTAGACTACCTTAGATGCTGGGATTCAAAGAAAAAGAACCACCTCTTCCTAGTTTTATTAGATGTCATGGTAACTTGTCTCCATTGAGGCAACTTTTAAAACATAATTGCCATAGCAGATGCTTGAGTTTTTGAGTGGATGAGTACCAAAGCAAAGCACAGTGTGGCAGGCTTTTAAACAAGTATAGGTGGTAGATACGACTCCCTGAAAATGCATGCGCACCTAACCCCCAATCAAGTATATGTTTTTTTCTCCCCCAAAGACTGCATTTTCCATAAACGAGTGAATTGCTGTTACAAATCTCACATGTGAAAGGAACCGTGATTTTTAGGACAACCCGAAGCTACATGTTGGCCTGTTAATAAAGAATCTGGAAAGGAGATTTACATGCTACAAAATCATATTTCAAACTAAAACCTGCTTTATGAGATCTGTTGAAATAACATTCTGTATAGATCTCCCTAATCTGTCCATTCTAATATTTTTCTTTAATACAATAAGGATTGTTTTAGAGACTAACCCTCAATTCTATCTAGTTTGTTCTTGACGGGTTAAAGAATTTGATAAATGAGTCTGGTTGTGTTGACACTGTTCATCACCATTCTCAAGTTTATAGACATGGATGATTTTCTCACCTTTGCAACCTGGAGGGTCTTAATTGTTTTAGCCTTTCGAATAGAAGGCTTTCCTTATGCTTTAGTACTCTTCTCTAATCTTTGTGGCTAAATACTAAATTATTGTGGCTTGGTACAACAATAGTATGATGTAGTTAAAACACGCGATTTTAAGTCAGACAGAACTAGGTTTAAATCCTGGCTCAGCTCCCTTAGGCAAGATACTAAGAATTCCTAGTGCATGTAGCTGTTGGAAGGATTAAGTAACATACTGCATATAACATAATTCCCACAAGGCCTGACACATAGTAAGCATTCATTATAAATATCAGTACTATTAGCAAAAGGATGTCCTTTTCTGTTTAGTTGTCAGTACTCTACGTGATTATCTTTATTTCCCTATGCAGTACTTTGGGCCAGCATATTCAGGAAATGGTTTATAGTCTTTTCCTAGGTACTAGCAGCTCAAATTTTTATTTTTTCCTAGTACTTTATATGTGCTAGTTCTTTACACTATTTTGCCTTTTTACACAGAAAACCACCTGTAATACCTCCATCCTCCATCATCATTTTGACATTCATGGAAACTATAACTCGTGTTAGTGAACTTGGCAGATTTCTTGATTCTGCTGTTTAAAATTATTTAGAAGATGTGAAATAAGGCCAGTCCCGGTGTCCTTCCTTCCTCTCGGTAGTTATTGAATGCCTACCACCTCCAGGAACTATGCTTCATATTGGGGATATATGACATGGTCCTCGCTCTCATATTTTTCACAGGCTAGTAAAGGAGACAGACAAATCAAGAAATGATTCCAACAGCGATCTGTAAACCCCTAGGAGTCAGTACTCATTTCTGTTTGGATGGACTAGGAAAGTTTAACAGAAAGAATGTTCACTTGAGTCTGGAAAGATAAAGATGAGTTGCCTAGACAGACAAAAGATAGCATGGGCCTAGAGGCACAGATACATGAAACAAGATATACTATCATGCGCTGCATAACGACATTTCGGTCAACAGACTGCATATAGACGGTGGTCCCAAGACATTAGTACCATATAGCCTAAGTGTATAGTAGGCTAAACCATCTAGGTCTGTGTAAGTACACTCTGTGATATTCCCACAACAATGAAGTCATCTAATAATGCTTTTCTCAGAATGTGTCGTCATCGTTAAGTGACACATGACTGTAGTGTATTCAGGGACTTTATGTAAACTAGTGTGAACAGAATCTAGGGAATGGAGCTGAGGCTCAGAGTAGAGGGAGACTTAGATGACACTAAAAGACTAGATTTGGCTTTGTGTAAGCAAAGGACAGTTATTGAAGAATTAGGGGAGGATGATAAGTGTTTAAGAGAATTTTTTTAGCAATGTGATGGTGTGGATGGGGAGCAAGGTTGGAGGCACCAAGACTAACCAGGAGACTCAAGTTGAGCTAATGAATAATGGCTATCATTCGCTGAGCTCTTACTATGTGCCAGGCAATGTAGTAAGCAATTATTGTAGTTAGTTCATTTCAGCCTTGAAAAAGCCACATGAGACAGTCATCATTCCATTTAATAGAAAACTTGAGGATCATAATTGGCCCATGGTCACACAGCTTGTAAGTGATAAAGCTCTGCTTTCAAGCACAGGTATGTCTAACGCCAAAGTGCTTGCTTCTGATCAATATAACCTCTGGCAAGAAGTGGTAAGGACAACCACAGTAAGTATGGAGAGGAGAGCAGGGATTCATGAGATGTTAAGAAGGTAGGACCTAGATCAGCTGACTCTGTTGGAGGGAGGAGGGCAGTGCACAGGGAAGTTAAAGTTAACAATGATGTCCAGAGTTTTGGTCTAAAACTGTCTTTGTGTGATTAAGAGAGTAAGAATTAGGAAGAAGAGACTGAGGAGAAAAGAGGGTTTTTTAAGACATGAATTTTAGGTGCTTATGGGACAAAAGTAAGTCCCTTAAGATGTGTAGTAGGCAGCTAGGTATATGGGTCTGGAACTTAGAAGAGAAATGACTTGAAGAGTGAGTTGTGAGTGGTGTGGCTTGGACAAGACTGCTCAAAGAGAATGAACAAAGATGATGACTCGCAAATACCAAGAGAAGGAGGTAGAGGAGGAGAAGCTAGCAAAAGAGACCAAGAAATAGTCAAAAAGCTAGGAAAGGAGAAGATAATGGTGTTGAGGAATCAAAGTTTTTCTAGTATTGGACTCAACAGGGTCAAAAGCAAGATACTATAATTCACATCTATCAAGTTGGTAACATTTTAAAAGTCTGAATATCAAATGTTGGCAAGGATGTTGAAAAAAACATGGGAACCCTCAGGCACTGTCTCTGGGAGTATAAATTGGTATAATCATTATGAGGGCAATTGGCAATATTCACTTACTAAAATTAAACGTGCATATCCTATGAACCAGCAATTCCCACTAGGCGATATAGATATAGATATAGATATAGATATAGATATAGATATAGATATATAGATATGTCCTGTAAACATTCCTACACATTTGCCAGAGAGACGTCAAAGAATGTTCATCGCAGTATTGTTTATAATAATGAAATTTGGAAATAAAATGTCTGTAACATAAGAATGGATAAATTGTGCTATGTTCATTTAATGGAATGCTATACAGTTAGAACAAATAAACTAGCATTAAGTGAATCAAGGATTACCCTCCCAAACAGTGGTGATCAAAAAAAAGCAAGTTAAATGGCATCATATCGTATTTCTTGTACATAAATTTTTTAAAAATGTAAAACAACACTAAGTATGGTTTATGGATATATTCACATAAAGTAAAAGTTTGAAAACAGCTTGAGAATTACAGACACAAAATTCAGGCCAGTGGTTCTCTTTAGAGGAGGGAGAGGCACATAGGTGGCCTATTAATTTTTATTTCTTAAAAAACATGTTTGAGATAATGTGGCAAAATATTAAGATTTGGTGTTTTCGTTAATTTTGGGTCTATATGGGATACCTTTTTAAAGTTAAAAAAGTAAAACAATTTAATTTTTTATTCCTCACTGAAAAAGTAGGTGGACAAAAAATACTGGATAATACTAATTCACTCAGAAAGTAGAGAATCTACAATTGAAACAAATGCTGCTTTTGTTTCTATATTCTCCCAAAAGGTCAAGGGCACTTTTACTGATTTATCAAGAATAGTGAGAGAATGAAAAGCAGGAGGGAGCATTACCAGGATGTGTAACATAATTTTTCAGGAGGAAAAGAGGCTCAGTAATATCTAAACATTGTTACCTTCGTAATTTCCAAAGTGCTCCTCTGTAGGTGCTATCCCTTCTTTACAGAGATGTTAAACAACTTGCTACAGGGCACCCAGCCAGTAGTAGAAGGCCAGGTCAAAGAAGCCGTGTGTGTCTTTCCCTGTGTCACTCCTCCCATTATTAGCTGGATGTTCAAGGTCACAGAACTGTAGATGTCAGAGCAGGAACTTGAACCCAGGTTTTTCATTTCAAGGCAAACTAAACCACTCTATGTTCCTGGATCCCATTATTTCAACTAGAGAGCTATTACCGAAGTTAAATGCCTTGTGCTATTTAGAACTTCCTTAGAAGAAAGAATTGTTGAAGTAAAAAAATGGGTATTTTCTAAACTGCATTTTTAGTCAGTATTTGTTTATCCCTTTTGTTACATACAACATACTTTATTCTGACACTGCTTTATGTTTCAAACTTTTCTTTTCCGTAACTCCTGGTTATGCTGGCATTTGGAATTCCTTTTACAATGGGAAAGTGGATCTTTAAGATGGTGAAGTTAAGTGTGTAAGATCATTTGCCAGTTCCATGAATTAGAAACTACCATCCCTGTATACCCTTAAGTGAAATACAGTGTCCTGCGAAAGAAACCACTCCAGTGGATAAGATGCAAGTAGTAAAGTGGCCAAGAGCTGTAGGTTATAGATGTGTTGATTATTAGAGATTGTCAGTCTGTCTTGCTAAAGTATTATAATTAGAAACCAAGAAAATAGGGTCCATCTCCACTTACCATTCACCCCAACTACAATGTTATACTTTAGGCCACAGAGTAACTCCTTCTGAGTAAAATGAGGGAAAACATTACCATTACTGAAAACTATTATAAACTCACGAATTCTAATGTTTATTAGATTTTGCAATTAGGAAGTCCTTCATCAACTTAACAAAACTGCTTTCCACAGAGTAGTGGGAATTGAAGCCAGGAAATGAGTTGGACAGTGAATGGAAGGTGAAGACAGAGAGATTTCAAGAGAATGCCAATTTTTTAAAAAGCTTTCAACGAGATGGAGGGCAGAAAGCAGAAGGAGAAAAAGTGGAAAAAGAGGGGTCATGATATTTGAGAGATTTGAGCAAGACTGTAACTTGAGTGAAAGGAACCTGTAGAGAAGGAGGGAAAAAATTTATGGAGCCAGGTCCCAAAGGAGATACAAAAGGTGGGCCTTGGAAAAGATACCTTTTCTCAGAAACTAAGAGGAGGTAAGGGAATAGTTACAAGTAAGTTTATAGCTGTGACGGGAGAGGTTTATACTAGATGGTCTAAGTATTTTTTGTGAAGTAGGAAGTAATAGCTGACGTTATTTATGAATTAGGAGGGGGTAGAAGATTAGTTTGGGGGGTTGGGAGAGAATGGAGATAGTGTGGAAGACACAACCGACTAAAGACAATGAACAGTGTTCACCACCAAACTGAGTTTGGAAATCATGAAAGTGTAGTGGTTTTATGATTGTTTCTAGTACCTCAGCTGAATGACTTATAGGACCAGGCATATTATAGGACTGATTCAGAATTGTGAGTTGGACGACAGATAGAGGAGAAACACAAGGATGAAAGGAGTTGAGGGCATTGGTGCCAAGCAGAATATAGCACTGTTCTAGAAATGTAAGTTAGAAGAGAAATACCAGGGAAGGAAAAACACGGAGAGGGCTTGAAAGAACTGGTGAGAGAACAGATCATACGACCAATTAAGAGATCCAGCTCAGATATGAAAGGAAGTGTGACCAAGAATAAGCTAGGGAAAAGGCAATATTACAAGAAAGGAAGTCTTGATGAGATTGTGAATCAGGCATACTGGGGTAATATGGATGGAAGGATAAGGGTATTGAAATCACTCAGAGCTACTTCATAACAAGTAGAGTGTGGCCAAGGGAATGAGGTTGAAGTGGCCGCGGAATTGTGATGCTTGGGTGTTCGACAGACCATCCATATGAATGTTGAAATCTCCTAGGAAATGATGAAGTGAACTGAGGTTTAAAGGATTAACATAATCCAGGTATAATGTTATTGTAAAGGAATGATCCAGAAGTTAATGGATTGTAGGGACAAAGCAAGGTAAAGAGTGGTAAAATTGGATGGAATGAACTTCAAAGGAATGAAAGTTTTTACAGGAGAGTGACATGGTTTGGAAGCGGCTGTGGGACAAAAAAAGGTGACACCAATTCCAAGCCTTGTGGCACATAGAGTTTGAGGAAACTGCAAAAGAAGTAGTATCTTTGAGAAAGTGCTCAAGGAAATAGAAGACATTCAAAAACGTTGTGGGTATAGGTGAGTTTATTTATCATGGAATAGGTTGCCAAAGCCCACACCGGAAAGGAGTGAGGGAGGATATTATGGGAAAGGTGGGGATGAGGAGTCAAGAGGACACGCTATCGGGTACACAGCAGTTTGGATACCAGAAATGAGATGGGTAAGAGGGCTGCCTTCTGAGCAGTGACCACGTAGATCAGCAATGAAAAGTTTGGATGGAATTATAGTTTGTTGGCTTTTGGCCCAGTTGTTTTGAACAAAACTGATAAACTCAGGGTCCCAGGCAGTGTTTGATCTTACCTTTGTAGGAGTGTTTCTAGATCCTCGGTATAGTGGTAATGCTAGATCCTTGTAGGGCAGCTGTGCAAAATGCTGAGTGTGGTAGGATTTGGCCTAGACTCTGTTGGACTTCCTTATGGTTTAAGACAAGCAGCCACTGGTTGGCCACACTCTCTGGTAGGTATTGCATGCAGCAGACATCCCAGAAGACAGAACCCAAAGACTTTTCTCTATGGGTTTGCACCCTCTTTACCATAAGGATCACTATCTGTGCTTTACATAGATGCAATCCCTTTTTTCCTGCTTTTGTAAGAGAGAGACTTCATTCACCAGCCTTTTGGAGAGAGTGGAGAGAGTCTTTTGATATAGTGGGAAAAGCATGGACTTGTAAGTCTTGGGTCTGAATCCTGGAAGCTTCTTGGGCAATTCACATAACTTTTCTGAGTCTTAATACATCATGAGTGTATAATAGACCTTGTATGTAAAGTGCCTAAAACAGAAAAAGTACTCAATCAATTTTTTCCAATCATTAATTCTTTCATAAATGTCTTGTTAAAGACTATCTGCCAGGCACTGTGCTGAGTCCTGGGAACCTAATGATGAATATGACGTGACCCTTGACTTAAGATCCTTACGGTTTAGTAGAAGGAGAGATGAAGATGAATATATTCAATGACAGATGAGGGGTACCTTGATAGATGGATGCATAGATGGAAAACAGTGGGACCCCAAGGGAGCAACAGTAAGTTCTGCCCGCCTGAGGTGGGAGTGAGAAGGCAGGGAGCCTCCTTGGCTATTCCTTCTCAGCTTTTTCTGTTCATCTTACTTCCACTCTATGTGCATGTCTATTTTCATTCTATGCACATTTCCTGAAATACATCCAGTGTGTCTTTTGTCTTCTCCCATGGTATCAGTGATAACCTATGTGCCAAAGAATTCCAGATCTCTCTACTCAACATCATACCACATATCCAGTTGTCAAATAGATATGTAAGCTTGGATGTACCATGAATGCCTCCAACTTAACAAGAGCTAAAATTGAATTTTATAATCTTTTCTTCAAAACCTGCTCCTCCACGTTTTGGGCACTTCTATCTGCTCAGCTGTCAAGTCAGAAACATGGAAGTCATCTTTGGTGTTTCCCTCTTCCTAATTCTCCACAGTTGGCTTTCAGCAAGTCATATTTATTATGTCTGTGAGACATCTTTCAAATCCACCCACTTCTCTGCATTTCCATGTTTATAATCCTAGTTTAGTATGATCATCTCTTGCCTAAATTACTCTAACAACCTCTCCCTGCCTCTAATCTTATCTCCTTTTAATCTATTCTCCATACTGCACCCAGAATATTATTTCTAAAATACAAATCTAATTAATTCATTCCTTGGCTTAAAATCCTTCAAAAGCTTCTCATTGCTTCCAGAATAAAATAGTTTACAGGGCACGGAGAATCTCATCTTTCCTTACCTCTCTAAACATTATTTCATCACTTCTTTCCTCTTACTCAATGCTTTCAATTTAGATAAACTTCTTCCCACTAGTCTTCCCTAAATCTGTAACTGCTCCTGGTTCTCTTCGGAGCTTACACAGTTTCTGTGCGTCTGCTCACATAGCACCCACTACACTGTATTGAAATGTTGAGGTGTTTGTTTCCCTGGCTAGACTAATCTGCTTAGGGCAGTGATCAAGCTGGCTTTTGTTTTGCTTTTTTGTAGTGTGTGTGTGTGTGTGTGTGTGTGTGTGTGTGTAATAGGAAGGAAATGTAATTAGTTGGGGCCTTCTGTATGTTCCTTGAATAGCTACATAAAAGAGAAATTTAACACTGTGGAGAATGGTTCAACAATGTACTCAGTATTCAACAACTAGATGGCAATGTTGTCTCTACAGTTTACGTCTAAATAAAGAGCTTGATTAAAATTAAATTTTCTCTCTCAATGAATGACCTGGTTTTACATTATTGCATGACGTAGTAACAGGACTATTTATTCCATTATCTACTTATACTTTGAATTTAAATATTCCCTAGTATTTCTTCTCTAATTAAGTCAAGCAATTTCGATCTATTGAAATAAAATATTGTGGACCATTTTACCTTATGCAAGGTACTTAATCATTTAACTATAATAGTTTATAACTGATTATACAAGTACTTTTTTCTTTATCATCATAATTATCTTATCTGGTCCAGAAATTAAAAACACACACACTGATATTATTAAAATTTTACACTAATCTTTTACTCAGATTTGACATAATGGTATAAAAGGTGAAGCTGATGGTCCTCAAAAGGAAGTATTTTTTTCAAAAACAGTTTACATACAATGATTTACATATAATAATCTGCTCCTATTTAAAATGTACACAGCTGTGAAATCATCACAAAGTAGTGAACATATCCATCACCCCAAAAAGTCTCCTCATGCCCTTCTGTAATCCCTCCCTCCCACCCTTCCCAGCCCCCAACCTCAGCTTTCTATATCTATAGATTAGTTTGCATTTTCTAGAGTTTTATATGAATGAGATCATACAGTATTTACTTTCTATTTTTCCTGAGGAAGTTTCTCCCTGAGTGAACATCTGCTGCCAATCTTCCTCTTTTTGTATGTGAGCCACCAACACAGCATGGCCACTAACAGACAAG